CTCTCTCTCTCTCTCTCTCTCTCTCTCTCTCTCTCTCTCTCTCTCTCTCTCTCTCTCTCTCTCTCCAGGTGTCTTGCCGGCTACGTGCGGAAAAACGGCCAGCCATGTTCTTCTGTGGGGCTTGCCTGGGCACAAACTCTCTCCAGGTGTCTTGCCGGACATTCACACCAGCCCTCCTTTTGGTTTTACGTTGTAGATAAATTATGCTAGAAAAGTGGTCGTCACAAGTGCTTTGGTTGCTCGCGGCTGAAAAATCGGCTGATCATGAGGGTACCAGCTGTAGCATCTCTGTCAGTTGGTATGAATCATCCAGCCAACGCATAATGGCCGTTTTTTGTGGCGTATGCAAGTATGCAAACGAATTGTAAGTTGTTATTGAACAGTGCTAGTCTCTTTTTGCCTGATGTCTGTGGTGAAATAGGTTTCTTGAGGAGGCAAAAGCTTCATGATGTTGGTTTTCCAAGAGAATTTGACATACGAGAGGTAGAAGCAGCAACAGAGACTGCGACAACGACACTTCTGGGGAAAGGTGCATTCGGAGATGTCTTTGAGGCAACATTGGATGGATCAAGGGTGGTTATAAAGTTTCGTGCAAAGGGTACAACCTCGTTACTGCCAGAGTTTCAACGGGTAAGGTCCATTCCGTTGCAATGATCCAGTCTTTGAGAACTCGGTCAATTCTGACCAACACAAACTCATTGCATGAGTTGACCGAACCTAAAGCAGAATTGACAAGGCCACGGTCACACCAATGCAAGAACACACAGAGCACTGAAGTATCTTGATAATGACATCCCTTGTCACGCGCCCAATCAATCAATACAATAACAGAGTGGTAGTCCTCAATTCAGGTCTGCACGCCTATGCTACTTCCTAGTCTGGACTATCATCTACTACCCACTGAGCTCTCTCCTACTCATGCCAGTGACCACTAAAGAGTCTGATGACATTGGATCTCTCCTGCCAACTAACAGGTAAGTATCCGCCACCCTCACAGCCTTCCCGCCACCCAAGGTTTTCTGCTGCACCTCACCACCCTTTCCCGTCTTGCATGACGCCGCTCTAGCTATGACGCCCACTGTGTCTCCTTCACGCCACCGTGCGCGCTTCCCGCCATCATGGTCACACTTCTGCTCGTGCGTCAAGAAGAGCACCCAGATGGCTGCAAACAACCTGCCGAATGTTGCCCCGTTCCTCAGCCTCTATCTATTGTTTGGTAGGTTGGGGTCTTTCTTTTTCCCGGTAGGGACTGCCTACTGGCCCAGTCCCTACTAGACCAGGTAGTGGTCGATCGGGACCCCGACTTGGGGCCTACCGGCCGAGACGACCTGGTCATGCGATTTAGGGCCTGGCACCATTCTCTTTGGTAATCAGTTAGTAAATTATAATGTGGATACTTTCAGTGATGATAAGCAAAGGGTGAACACCAGACCGACTGGAATCCAGAACCCTATGCTTCTGTCCTCAATCAGGTAGTGACAATAATCCCGTTCTTCTTCTTAACATCCAGATAAATGGACACAGTGACACACCTTACACCTTACAATGAACGCTAGTATAACCAGAGGCTGAAAGCTCTGATGACTAGCACTGTGACCTGGTTTCCCTACGGAAACTTTGGAAAGTGCTCCTTGCTCCTCCACCAGCTCCTTTGCGTAAGCTCTCAGTATTGTGCAGGCCAACCACTACTTGTTGAACCATCAAAACACAGAAAAAAAAACGAACTTTGCTGCAACACGTAATCTCCAACCCAACTGTTATACTGTCGGCAGCCTTCCATTTTTCCAAGTCATCAGACTCAGCATCCCCCTCTTCCCCTCCCTCTCAGCCCTTCCTGGCAACTCCACTCGCATCTTGGATACAATACATTATTGACACACTCTGGTGGTTAAGTTGGTTGCTGCTGGTGTCCTGCTGGAGGATTTCTTATAACTTTCTGTGTCCAGTGTGTTCAGTGTGTGCATGAATTTGTTATAGTTGTGGTCTCACATTTTGAGACGCTGTTTGCCAGATGAATAATGCACTTAACCAAATTCATCCTGCTCAGCCCTGGTGCTGACCAAGATAGTGCTCTGATATCGGCAGCTGGCTTCGGCTCTATGGCAGTGTTCTGCTCTCTGGGGTTGTCTCAAGCTTTCCAGATTTGTTGCATAGTGGTGTCGTTGGTACGCTGTGCTGTGGTATCGGTTGCCTATCGGTGGCTGCTGTGCTTCGTATATTATTCTGATGGTTTGTAGTACTTTGTACTATGTAGATGAGTTGTAATTGATTGTGAATAAAGGTAGTATGAACTGAAAATCAGGTCATTGAATTGGAGAACTGGGGATTCTGAGGAAGAGCAACCAGACTGACATGCACCTTTTACTGAAACCCGTGTAAACACTTGGCTGATCTTTGGTTTCTGCAGGATGTCAAAAAGCTTGGATCTTATAATCACAAAAATCTTGTGAGGGTGTTGGGCTACTGTGATGACAAGGAGTATCAGGCTCTTGTCATTGAATGGATGCCGAACGGCTCACTTGAGTATTACTTGTATGGTGAGTTTAAGTTTTTTGTTACAAAATCAGGGTTGCACCCCTGCCGACTGCCGACTGTATTGCAGCCGACCAGTAGGGCCGACCGGTAGGCAGTCTGCCGACCAGTCAGAAAACAACCATCCACTGATTTTTTTTCAAATCTGAGTTGGGGGCTGTACTGCGCTTGCTGAGTACAGCCCAAATCCACTGTGAAACTTTTGGGGATTGGGGGG